TATATATATATATATATATATAAGCGCTAACAGACAAATCAAAGCCGCACATGGCTTCGAGTCCGCAAGATCGTCTGCCGCTGTGCCCCCAACGTCGCCGAAAGATAGCTCCCAACCTGCTCGGTTTCCAGTGCCAGCATGTGCGCCCGCTGCAGCAGCAGCAGCAGCGAGCTCAGAAGCGACCCCACACACACAGCCAGTCTTAGTACCGAATTCTCCGTGAGTACGCTACCTGCCTGTCTGTCTCAATTGACTGTCTCTTCTGTTCTGTTAATTTGGTATCGTAAACCTTCTGTCTGCTGCTGGAGGCCTTGCTCTCTCTGTATCTGCAAAAGTTTCTTGCAGCTCCTCTCTTCCTCTGTTTACCTCCCACTCTGGAACCGTTTTCTTCGGCACGCGATCTGTCGTCTCTGTCTCTCTGTCTCTCTGTCTCTCTCTGTCTCTGTCTCTCTCTGTCTCTCTCTCTGTCTCTCTCTCTCTCTCTCTGTCTCTCTCTCTCCTTCTTCTGTCTTTGTCTTCGCTCTGCCTGACTCTCTGCCTTGCTCGCCGTCTCTCTCTGTCTTCATTTATGTCCCTGCCCTCCTCTGTGAACCCTTCTTCCTCTGTCTCTACCTCCTTATATCTCGCTGTTTGGTTTTGCTCCTGCCTCCGTTTGCCTACCAGGATGCTTTCTGCCACTATTGCCGCTTGGCTTCCTCGTTCTTCTTCTCAGGCTCTGATTTGCTCTACCTGTTCCTATCTCTTCTTTCTACTTGTGTCTTTGTCCGTGTGTCTTCATCAGTCCACTCACCTCCAGCTGCTTGCAGCCTTCACTCATCTTCGCTTCGCTCCCCAGCAAACCTTCTCGTCGTGCACCCCCTGCAGCAGAGCAACACTAAACACTAAACCCTAGTAGTAGCCAAACCCCAGACTCGAACCCTATGGTGAAACTGAAGGAACACATACACAGCACCTCAAAGCGCAGCAGCACCGTATCGCGCTTTGCAGCAGCAGTAACATACCATTGGCAATCAGAAGCCGCCTCTCTGCGGCATCGACTTCAGCAGACAGTGTTCGCAGTTCTTGACGCAGTTGCACAAGCTGCAGACACATAACCACAAGGCACGCTTTTTCCTCTCAATACAGCAGCTGGTGCTGCCCTTCTTGCTGCTCTCCCTACGTACGCTGCACCCAAGACTCCATTGCTGGTGGATTCTTGCGTTTCGCATGGCTCTGCGTGGTTATCTCAGCAACAATCACCCAGCCACTCAGCGATAGCAGCTGCTGATAAGACTGCACTAGACTAGGGGAGGTCTCACACTGTACGGCGGCGAAGGGTCAACAGCGTTTGCAGGGGATTCAAAGCGGGCTTCCAGCTCCAGATGCCGCAGCTGCACAGCAGCAAAACAGCCTTTGCAACTAGTCTGTCATGCTTTCTGGGTAGCTGTCCTTCCATGGCACGGGCCTTCCTTCTGAACCCTCCCCCCCCCCCCCCCCCCCCCCG